TCATGATAGTTAATTCATTTAAAATGGTTGCTCTAGTGGCACACAACTATTGCTTTTCATCATGAAAGCTTATATTCAGTGAATTGAAAAGTGAATTTGCATACTGTTTAATATCTGACGAGAAAAATCATCGAACCGTAACACACATATTAATTATATATTATATCTTCTACAGAGCTAAATTATGCTTTATCGAATTCAAGATATGTCGACACTTTTCAGAAAGTATAACTAGAAATTTTTAAATATTGAAAAAACGCAGATATAAGGAAGAAAAATGTATAGCGGCCAGTTTGATACAACTGTTGCAGAAACGGGATATGCAAATGAACAGTTAACTCGAATATAAGATAGTTATCTGATTTTAAAAAAAAGCTATGCATGACATTACGTAAATCAAGAAAAAAAATGTGGTCGATGATCGAGACTTATTGGATCATAATATTAAACAAAGAGAAATCAATGTGAATATGGAATCATGCAGAATTTCTAATTAAATTCTTAATATGATAATAAAAGTAATAGACGATAAATTTCTATTTCATATGCAGACATACTTTTTTGTAACATGAAATTAAAATTATAAATGAGAAAAAAATTGTTCTATGAAATTATCAAAGATAAATAAAAAAATTTTTAAATTTAACTTAAATAAAAATTTCTGATTACTTTATAGAATTCTACAGTTCAATGGAATATGATGGAACAAAGTTTGCTAGTTGTCTATCGAGAGTGATGAGTAATTAGTGGAAATAACATAGAATCTTGACTATCTTCAATTGTACCGTTATACGATAATAAATAGAAATCTCAGCTGATGTTAAAAATGTGGAATTTTATAGTTAAAAAAAATCCATTAAATAATAGTAGACTATTTTTATTTAATGGATTTTTCATTTAAGTCATTAATAATTTTTATGTTATTTCAAATTCATCAAAGAAACTATTCATTTATAAGTATTTGCAAGAAAAAAGAGGAAAAGAAATTGATTAAACATAGTGGTTCACAGTAAAAGTCTAGAGAAACATCCTTTGTTTGAAAGAATTGCTAAAAGAATGCTTAGTTTCGCGCAAACATACAGCAAGTGAGTCAACATCTAACGGGAAGTCACTTGGCAGATGAAAAAAGATGTTTCTATGATGACATCTGACTAATGTTATTTGCATGGACCCAATATAAAAAGAATATTATCTCAAATGACTATTCTATTGTGCTTATTAATTTTTTGAGATTATTAAGCTTTATGACTTAAAACAACTTTATCATTTTATGATTTTTAAGTATTTTGATATCATTTAAACACATAAACGAATAATATGATTTACAAAAATAAATTTTTATAAAAATTAAAATGATAAGGATCAAGATATAACGAAGTAAAAAAATACTATTTTAAGAATTTCAATAATTTCAATAATTATTCAAAAATCTTATATATATTTTCAAGTTCATCATGAATTACACCGTTAAAAGGAATGCTGCTTAGCTTCTCTTGACCACGTGTGCCGTGCAATGAGTATAGTTATGTGAATGTGTAAGACTAAATAGCATTCTGTATAAACTTACCGGGATATGAAGCAAGGTACTCTTGCGAAATCGGCTTATTCGTTCCAAAGGTATTCAATGAACTTAGTTTGCGATACGCAGTAATGTTCTGAAATTAAAACAGCATTATGACTAAAAAAAAGAAATTGAGGAAAAAGAAAAATTAAATTATAAATTGTTGAGTAATACTTTAAAAAGATTTTAAAATCTTTTAATGAAAAAACTTATGAATTTCGAACTATTAAAGATACTTTATAATTTTTATAATCTTATTAATTGAGATGATGTTTAAGATATTTTTTTTTTTATAAAGTTATGATAAGAAATATTAAATAATCAAATAAACAAAGAAAAAACTTCATGCATTATTTTAACAATAATGGATGATTATTAATATTAAAAAAAATGAATAAGTATGATTCAAAATTAAAAGAATATAATAATAAACTAATATTAATTTAAAAATTAAAGATAAAAATAAAGGATTTAATTTAAATGAAATTGAATTAAAAAATTGCAGTTAAGTATTCAATTATATACAATAAAAATAATTATATTTGAAACGAATTCCAATTCTAATTCCTTCCTTTCCATAACATAAGTATCAAAAAATAAATAATTTTGAATTTTCAATAACGAGTAATTTAAAGGAGTACTGATTATTCATATAATATGTACATACATACTTATGGAATGTTACAATTTTTTTAAATCTATACGAATATATATTATATTTTCTGTATTAAATACTAATATTCATTTCAATATATCACTACTTATGTTAATTTTGTTAATTTATGATATAAAATATAATAAAATATAATTCTCCAATCAGTATAAGCAATAAATGAATATAAAGTTATTATTATTTAAAATAATTTAAACAAAAAAATAAATTAATTTCAAAGATTTTTTAACATTTTTTAATTACACAAATTTAATAATTTCAAATATTTTTTAATTACACACATAATTCTTTAAGCATATTGAATGATAATAAAACAATTTTTAAAACAATTTAATAAATATAAATTCTGATATAATAATTCTGAAATATAATAATTTGATTAATATTAAAAATTTAATGATATAAATTATGATATTGATTATTTTATAAAAAAAATAAACAAAATCACTTACATTTTGATCACATAGCTCAATTGAAGCTATGAATGTAATGCAATCCGCAGAATATTTTATTCAGTCTCACTTGAATTGTTCAGATACCACAAATCATGGGATCGGAAGCGTGGGAGCTGGAACGAAGATACTCAGTGCCTGGAGCATTAGACACCAGAGGCTTAGAGCCTCCAGCCAGCGAGGACCTTCATGCTTGGTCAATCTACAGGTATTCTTACTTCATTTTTAATTTTCAATTCTAAAAAAATATTGTAATTAATATATTATTCTTTCAGGCAAAACTTGAATTCCGATTTTACGGATTCAGCACTTGGATCAGCAGAAAAATCTCCTCTCCCATATGGAAATTTTCAATTGAGAGACTCCACAGTACAGAGTATTCTCAGACATCCAAGATACGGGCCAAAAAGTCCCTTAGCTAGCAATTCGTACACTTACCTAAAATTTGGTCTTCCAAGGGTTCTTCCACCTAGTTCTAGAAATAGAGATGGCTCTAGTGGTTACGATTCCAGCGAAGAAGGTCGTAGAATATCTCATGCAGGAACTTCTGCACATGGAACTTCTGCTATGAGATCTGCTAGGAGTGATCCTGATTTTAGACACGTTCATGCTGTTCCTAGAGAACATGCACATTCTCAGTTGACAGTTTCAAGGGAAAATCCTAGATTGAGAAGTGTCAGTGAAGCGAATCTTCTTCACGGAGGTAGCAGAACGAATAGAAGACATAGTATCGCGCCTATAGATCCAGGATATGGGGTTCACGAGCTCAGAGGTGAATATTCTATATTTTAACATTTATATTTTTATATTCATTTAGATATTCTTTTAATTTCGATTATAATTAATAGAGAAAATTGATTTTTAGGACATGGGATTCTGGGTCCAGAGAGTTATACATTACCTCTAAGGCCGGTACCATGTCTTCAACATCCTCATCTTCAATTACGAGGTGTAGAAGCTTCAGGATCTGATGGTTTGCCTCTTTTGCGAGGAATTACTTTAGAAGCTGGAGCAACTGAAGTATTAGCCATTATGGCTACTACAGAGAAAGAAGGAAAACATATCGTGGAAACTATTGCTGGACGAAAGAAAATTAAAAGAGGAGATATTTTGTTAAATGGAAGATCTGTATCTTTTAGAACTTTAAGGTATAATTTATTTTTTAAAATTATTTTAAATTATCAATTTGAATTTTTTTTTTCTTTTTTAGATCTCGAGTTGCTTATTTATCAACGGAAAATAGTTTAAGTCCAGGTTTAACTGCCCAACAAACTTTGAGTTTTTATATGCTTCTTAGAGGAGGTCCAAATACTTCTAAATTAGAAGCCGATGCAATTCTCCAGGAACTTGGTTTAGAAGCAACCAAGCATTGTCTTGTGAATTCATTGACAACCTCCGAAGCAAGAAGGTTGGCTTTGGCGTGTCGTTTATTACAAGATTCACATATTCTTGCACTAGATAGGCCAACACATGGTTTGGACATTTTCGACGCTTTCTTCCTCGTAGAATATTTGAGACAATGGGCTAACAGAGGTCAAAGATTAGTGGTATTGACCTTACATCCACCCACTTATGAGATACTGACGATGGTATCAAGAGTGGCACTTACGTCCGGTGGAAGAATCATGTATTCCGGTCCCAGAAGGGATATGTTGCCATATTTTGCTCTTGCAGAATTTCCTTGTCCTCCATTTAAAAATCCTTCTGACTATTATCGTACGTGATCTTAATACTATTGATATTATTAATAAATTATTATTTTCATGCTATTTTATTTTTGTTGATAATAATTTTGTTTCGTATGATAATAAAAAACATCCAAAGAATTATTTTTAAATTTTTAACAATTTTCTTTTTCAGTTGATTTAGTAACACTCGATGATTTATCTGCGGAAGCAATGCTAGAATCCTCCCAAAGAATAGATCATCTAGCTGAGCTTGCAAGAACCAGGCTCCCAGCACTAAGCGATCCTGGACCGCCTGGAGCACTTCCTCCTTCCATTTCGAGTCCTAATATATTCTCACAGATTTATGCATTACTTCTGAGGACTCTAATCTATAGTCAACCATGGACATTGACCAGATTACTTAGAAAAATAGTTATTTCTGCTTCCTTAAGTATTTTACTTGGTGCAATATTTTGGGATGTAGCTGGGGATTCAAATTTATATCTTAGAGACCGAATTGGTTTTCATTATGCCAGCTTAGGAATCTTCTTCTGGCCTTTAACTTTAATAGCCATTTATGAAGTGGCTGATTACAGACCAAATGTGGAAAGAGATATTAAAGATGGCTTATATGGAAGATTTGTGTGTATTTTAATGGAGGTAAATCTTCAAAGATAGTTATTCAATCATTCATTTTATTAATTGGATCTTTTTTTTCAGCTGCTCTGTGGAATACTCTCTTGGTGCATAATTTATTTGATCTATTTGGCACCAGGTTATGCTATGTCTGGTCTTCACCTAATACCAGATGAGAATCTAACTTCTTTATGGAATTATCTTGGAGTTGGTTTACTTTATTTAATGCTGCAACATTTAATTTGTATATTATTTGCTCACATTTGCAAATGGACATATTTAGCTTCTTTGTTTTCTGGCATTGTAATTGGAGAGATGACTTTAGCTGGAGGAGTGACCTTGCATCTAGAGAATTTGCCAAACTGGTATCAAAAAATTAGTCCAATGCAATGGACTCTGTCTTTGTTATTACCTCCACTTCATCAAACAGAAGTCATGAATAAACTGACAAATTGTAAACCAAAACAAATTCAAAGGCAAGATATTATAGTTCAAGCTGCTTGTGAACCACCTGATGGTATATTGGCATTGTATGAAATTGCACTGCATAAATTTAATGTAAGAGGAGAACTATGGCTAGGAATAGGAATAATTATTGTCAGTATCCTAATTATATTAGTATTCTTATGTATTAGATACACCACTCCTAAGAGACTTAGGAGTGCACCAAACAAGCCATAAACATAAAATGCAATAATTTAATGACTGAATCAATAACATTTTCAATTCATGAATATATCATATCTCTGCATTTTATTAATGTTAGTATTATTATTATTATTAGTATTTTATTAATATTTTTAATTAATGTTATAATTTTATAAGTACAATATAATGTAGTTATAAATAAGAAATATGATTATTTACTTCATCTAAAATATAGGTACTTGGTCATATTACGCTCATAAGCTTTGATATTTGTCTATTATTGTTATTGCGATTTTCTAAAGTAATAGACTTCAGAAACTTGCAAAATAGACTCATTTAACGAAATTCCAAAGCTTGATGAGCCGATACATTTTGCAATCTCTTCTCCAAATGTCTTAAAATTATCTATATTTTGTAACGATATAATCAAATCAATCAATACAAATGTTTTTATGAAATAAAAAAAAGAATTATTAAACTTCTATTATATATTGATTATTTTTTATAATTTTAAGTGCACATTTTTTTTTAAATTTATTAAAAATTTTTTTATTTTATATTGAAAATAATTTAGTTAAATTTAGTTTATATTGAAAATAATTGATTAATATGAAAAATTAGCTCCGTCAATTGCTTTATGAAACTTGATAGCAAGCTCCATCTACAACTTTAAGAATATCGGCAAAGTTCAATCGGTAAATGTGATTTTTCATTTACTGGAATCGAATTATTTTTCAAAAAATATATGAATATTAATTAATCATTTTATTTACAAATAATTATTAAATAATTTATTCCTCAAAAATCGATTTAGTTATTTTTTAAATTTTAATCTATTCGCGATTTTACAAATTTATTATCAATTATTGGAAACGTTTAAATTAAAAACGGTTAAATCGATATTCTATGTTAGACATCTTACCTTAGAAATATATCTGTCGACTAATAATTTAATGCATAATATAACGATAATTTTCAAAGAAAATAGATAGTTTATATTTGTTAATTAATTAAAGCACATAATTTTTTCAAGAATAATCGTTTAATCAATAAATTTTTTAATTATTTTCTATTTAATTTTTAATTTTTATTTCAACGATTTTTCTTATCCTAGTGAATAAAGTTATCTTAAATATCAGAAAATATTTAGCTTCATAACTTCGACATTGAAAATCGTCAAAATAAAAAAAATGATTGAAATTTTATATTTGAATATATTATTTTGTAATATTATTTTGAAAATTTTATATTTTTCGAATATTTTTTAAATCAAACTCATACATCTTGAAAACTGTTATTTATCTGATAAATTATTTAATTAATTTACAATATTCTAAGAATGTTATTGTATAAATTCATATTAATTAAAATTCTTTTTTTTGTTTTATAATATTCTCAACACCCTTTGCAAGTTTCAAGGCTCCATCAATTCGTTCACTGAATTAGTACAAATTGGCAACAGAGCAATCGTCGTAAATGCCAACTTCCGTCGATAAAAGTAATTAACTCATAGTTGTAAGCTGGGTAAGCAGAATTCTTGGAAAAAGCGTGGGCTTGTTAGGCAAAGATCGCAGAACAGAGTTACGTTCTTGTTTCGCGAGCATTAAACTTTAGCAGTGTCGTTACACCTCAAAATCAATGAACCACTCTCTATTCCACATTCGATGTGCGTACATCGAACTTTGATTCATTGAAATGACAACCATACTACGTGCATTCATTCTTCTTATTTTTATTTCATAGCATTGAATTATCCTTAAATATTTCTCATAATTTTTCAAAATTGTTTTAATATTTTTAAAAAATTATTTTATTTTAATAAATTGTATAATTAATAAAATTATTAATTCGAAATATACATAGAATATCATTTAAGTATTTTTTATTATTTGTTGATTTAAAAAAAATATATAATTTCAATAAATAATTATTATTAATATTATTAATACATACCAAATGAAAATTATATTATTATTGATTCAAATATAAATCATTTAACTATATTTCAAAACTAACCTCATTTTTTCTTCTTTGCTTATATTTAAAAAAAAACTGCTTATATTCTTTGAATAAATTATCTAAATACTGCAAAAATTTGAATTAAATTGCTATCGACGATTCTATACACGATCATTCCTAGCAAGGTCTTTCTACCGACAGGAAGAATAAAAACGGCTTGAGATAATAACAAGAACCTGTGAGTCGCGTGGGCGCGAATGTATAAAGCATATTTCGTTTTCTCCCTCCTGATCCCGTTCGCCTCTTCATTGATTATTTTACTTCACCACCTACCAACATGCGTTGGCAACATTCTATATTAGCACGTTACTTCTATCCACAACCATCATACACGGACACGTATTCTTAAATATGTTAAAGCGAATTACTAATTAAATTTTTTCTCTATCAATTTCATAAAAAAATTACTTTGTCATTAATGCATATATTCTAATTATGAATTGTTATAAAATTATTATAGTTAATATTATTTATCACATTTAATTATTTAATTATAACTATTAAATATATAAATAATATATATGCTTATATATTAACTTGGTTAGAAATCAATAATCTTTATTCTTTGAATATGTCGATAATTGCATAAATGCTCAATCGATATTTAAAAATTTTAATAATCGAATTTCGATACACATTTTCGATACTTACATATGCATAATTATATATTTTTATAATATTTATTTATTATTTTTCCATAATTCTTTATTGTAAATTTAATTTCATTTAAAAATAATCTTTTTATTTATGTTATATTCTGCATAAAAAATATATTAAAGAAAATGCAGAAAATCTTGATTTGATTACTATTAATAGAAAGTAGCGAAAATAAGTTAATAAAGGTATAATATATATTAATAATAAAATTTTGATATTGTTTAATATACCATTCATTATGCTATTTAAGCAAAATCATTAATACTTTGTTATATATAATGTAACTTTTAACATTTAAGTATTAAACATACAAGAATATAATTTTAAAATGTAAAGATACTATTTACATAATAATAAATGTTGTAATGTAATTATTTTAATTGTTGAATGAAGAAATTTTTAAAATTATA